TCCTGCAGAAGAAAGGGTGTGCTGGTGTATCTACGCATATATATATATATATATATATATATTACGTACAGTGCACGTGCATGCACATAGAAGCAGTGCCTATACACCCCAGCTCTCAGCAAACCGCTCTACTCCCTCTAAGAAGAAGATAATGCTAAGACAGGGTTTTAGAGTCGCCTCAAAAGATACGGATAAGATTACTTGGGAGAAGGCAGTCTAACAGAGAAACCCCTGCTACGCCTCGCATCTCCCAGTGTAAGCAAAGTGTGATGTCTAAAGATGTTCCTCAGCTGGTGCGCTGTATATATATAATATATATAATATATATTATATATATAATATATATAATATATAATATATATACTATATATATTATACACGTATATTACATATATACATTATATATAATATATATATATAATATATATAATATATAATATATATATACTATATATATTATATACGTAGATTACATATATACATTATATATACATTATATATATATTATATATATTATATACAATACAGTATATAAGCCAATCAGCACATATGAAGCAAGGCCAGCGCTCTTTAAGCGAGGGCTTCATGCAGCACTGTACAAGCACTGAAGAGGCAGACAGCCCCCTATTCACTTCAGCAACTTCTCACCGCCCTCTACCGCTCAGCTACAAGCGGCTAGCTGTGGCTAGCTGCAGCTAGCTGTGGCTAGCTACAGCTAGCTATGGCTAGCTACAGCTAGCTGTGGCTAGCTGCAGATTATATATAGGCTTGTCCACATTGAAGGGATATAGATATGCTAGCTGGTGTAGCCCCTCGGGGCCCCACACCCGCATGCAGCCCCATGAATAGGCTTGCATGCAAGCCCCAGAGAGGGGTGCATGCAGATGCTACCGCAGTCTGTATTCCCTTTGCTGCACGGTGGTAGCTGTCTCCTTTCTTCTCTTGGTGCTGCTGGTGCTGCTGCTGCTGTTGCTGCTGTTGCTGCTGCTGCACATTACCTTGCGGTGTCTCTTCACCTCCTAGGCAGGAGACAGCACGCTGACGTTGAAGCGGAGACCGAGAGCTGCAGCCCCCTACGTTGAAGGGGCTTCAAAGGAGACATTCTTCTGTCTCTTTGTGTTAATCCTGCTGTCTCTCTCGGGTTTAAGTGCCTCTGATGCATGCGTAAGATGCATGCATGTAGACAAACTTCAAACATTAGGGGGCCTTGCGCTGTCTGTACAGCAGCGGCTGGCTGTAAGACAAACCCCACCGGGGAGGCAGCTGCTCCCCTTCTCCTGATTCTGCATCTGCTGCTGCTGCTGCTGCTGCTTCGGCAGCAGCAGCAGCAATAGCAGCAGCAGATGCAGGCTCCAGATGTATCCACGACCCCTCCAACCGCCAGAGAGGATGAGCAGCTGCTGACCTCAAGCCCTGTACATACACCGCAATATACACACCCCACAACGCACATGCATGCAAATCTAGCGTAGACACAAAACCCTGAGACTGCTGCTGCTGCTGCTGTTGGTGCTGTTGTTGTTGCTGCTGCTGTTGCTGCTGTTGCTGCTGCTGCTGTTGCTGCCGCCAGCTGTCTTTTTTAAAAGAGAGACAGCAAAAGAAATATATGCATGAATGCATGCATGCAACGGTGTCTAAATACGTGCAGTTGGTTCATGCACATGCAGCCCCAGGCACCGCCTTAGCAGCAGCAGCAGCAGCAGCAGGAGCAGCAAGAGATGAAGCATTGAGTAGAATAGAAGCAGCATGCGCAGCAGCAGCAGTAATATCAACAGCAGCTTACAGGGTGGATTCTATGATGTCTCCATATTGAAGGCGCAGCGTGCTGCTGCTGCTGCTGCTGCTGCTGCTGCTGCTGCTGCGGGTTTGCTGCAGCACCAGAGGAGACAGCAGGCATCGGAGACAGCCCCCGTTCATAGAACAAAAACTCAGGAGATGCAGCAGCAGCAGCCGGCAGATGCGGTAAGGCCTCAACCAGCAGCCACGCGCCCCCCAGAACCTCCTCATTGAAAAATGCTCTCACCCCTGAGACAGACAGACACCTGAAGCAGCAGCAGCAGCAGCAGCAGCAGCAGCAGCAGCAAAAATGGTTGAGAGGAGATAGACGAATTCCACAGCGGAGATAAAAGGAGACAAAAAAGATAAAAGAGACAAAAGGAGACAAAAGAGATAAACGAGATAAATAAAGGAGACAGAGGAGACAGAGGGGACAAAAGAGACAAAAGAGACAAAGGAGACAAAAGAGACAAAAGAGATAGACGAGATAAATAAAGGAGACAAAGGAGATAAAGGAGATAAATAAAGGAGACAGAGGAGACAGAGGAGACAGAGGAGACAAAAGAGACAAAGGAGACAAAAGAGACAAAAGAGACAGAGGAGATAAAGGAGATAGAAAGCGACAAAAGAGATGAAGTGAGACAAATGAAGATAAAAGAGACAAAGGAACTAAAAGGAGACAAAAGAAGATAAAAGAGACAAATGAGATAACAGAGACAAATGAGACAAAAGGAGACAAAAGAAGACAAAAGAAGACAAAAGGAGACAGAAGAAGACAAAAGGAGACAAACGGAGACATATATAAAATAGTTAGAAAAGACAAAGGAGACAGAAGAAGAAAAAAGAGACAAAGGATACAAAGGAGATAAAGGAGACAGAAGAAGATGAGAGGCGACATAAATAAAAGAGTTAAAAGAGACAAAGGAGACAGAAGAAGATGAAAGGAGACATATAAAAGATATAAAAGAGACAAAGGATACAGAAGAAGACAAAAGGAGACACAACTAAAAGATATAAGAGACAAAGGAGACAGAAGAAGATGAGAGGAGACACATAAAAGATATAAAAGAGACAAAGGAGACAGAAGAAGAGTTAAAAGAGACAAAGGAGAGGCC